CACCGCCCCCACCTCCCACCGCCCCCACACGGACGGAGAGGGAGAGCGGAGCGCTGAGCCCCCTCGTCGATAGAAGCAGCGTCGCCGGGCGTGGTGTACGTGGCGGTTCCATAGTGTAGTGGTTATCACGTCTGCTTTACACGCAGAAGGTCCTGGGTTCGAGCCCCAGTGGAACCAGCGCCCGCAGATTTTGTTTTCGTTTTCACCCGTCTTTTTCTTTAAGGCGATGAGTTTCGACTTACATTTTTTTCCCCTCAAGATGGGCAACATCATAAACACGGAGAGAAAGCGCAGGCGCTGCTTGGGGCGGAGGAGGATCGATCTGTGGCAACGAAAGCGGAAAGGCCACTTAAGCAGGAAACCCCAGCCTGGCAGGATCTTTTCTAGAGACCCTGTGCAATAGCACATTTTTCTGAGAGTGGGAACGTAATTTAGATAATGTTGCTGCACTGCTTTCTTTCTCTTTTTCCTCTAAAAAGCGCCGTTTCCTGCAACATCAACCAAAATGCAGAGACACCCAGTGCTCTCTCTGCCTGCCTGTCCGTCACGGCTCTGTGGGACAGGGTTTACAAGGTTTTAACGTGGTTGCTCGTTGTACCTTACTCCCTGGGTACCGTTTCATGGTGGCTGGTAACCCCCTTCCCTCTGGTGCGGAGTGGGAGGCCCAGGGTGGTGCCGGGGTTGTGGGCCTCTCCACGACAAGGCCTTGCTGAGTCATGGGTTGCCTGAGTAGGGGAACTTATGGCTGGAAGCCCAATAAAAGAATGTCATCCCTCCTTTCCAGCCTGAATGATGTATGGGCCATCAGAGGACATTTTGCATTTTCCCCTGGGCCCCTTCTCACTGACGCAGCTTAGGCCCAGGCTGGCTGCTGCAGCGAAGCACAGATGGGGCCTCTCCTCACCCTAGGTCAAAGGCTTCAACCTCACTGGGACAGAACACCTGTCAGCAAGAGGAGCCTTTCCCTCCTAGTGCTGACGAGGGATCCCCCCCTGACTTCCTCCTCTTGGCCGTGTAACTAAGGAGACCACACAGACCAGAGGCAGACATGGCTACAGCGGGGAGAAGCAGCGGCCTGTGCTTCCTCCCAAGCGGGGCCAAGGGTGTGTGAATACCCAGGCAATGGTAGTGAAGGCTGCCATCCCCAAGGAGTTGTCTCACTGGGGCAGACCAAAGCACTGTTGCTTTCATCTCTGATTTTGGGGAAGTGTTTGAGCACTGGGAAAGGCCAGCACTTTTCACAGTGCACTGTAAGCAAGCGTGGTTAACTCCATCCTTGTTCTCCCCTGTACCGTGTGTTTGGTTTTTATTAATCGGGAAAAAATGAGCCATGTCAGCATGCTTCAGAGCATCTTCGCTTTTGGATTATAACGTGTTGTCTCATTTCGCATGTGCAAGCCTTTAAAAAAAGGTAACCTCTGGTCATGGATGCTGCCACGGCCTCTGTCCGTGCATGGGAGCCTTAACAAGTGCTGAGGCCAAGACGTGTCGGCAGGAGGAGGAGGGTCACTTAGGTCTGCTCAGCTGGTGTTTGCTCTTGAGTCTCTTTGCAGGATCAGAGCAGGAGGGTGTGATTTGCCTATCTTAAAGATGAAAGATTGGCTTAAGTTACTTTAATCAGGATCTTATTAAAAAACTTACCTTAATCATCATCTTAAAAAAGCCATTACCTTTGTCGGTACTTGCTCTTACGAAAGAAACACTCTGGGGTATGGGCAAGCTACAGCTATGAGATTGCAGTGCAATGCAGGGATACATGGGCTGGGTTGTAAAAGCCCTTTTGAGTAGAAAGCACCCATATATCACATAGTGAGACCTAGCAGGATAAGGTAATAACATTAGGCACCTTAAGGGCACTAAGTGCCTGTGGATTGTGCAAGCCTAAAAGTGAAGACATACTCAGGTCTGGCTTTCCTCTGATTAGTGTTGTTAGCAACATGTGTGCAGACTCCAGGAGGTCAAGCCAAAACAATGTATCCCACTTCTTGGGTAAACAGCCTTCCACAGATGGGCTGCTTCCAGGTTACAGGCTCAAAGCTGAATCAGCTGTAGCCATACTTCTCCTGATGTTGTGTATGCAAGCCTTCGGTGTAGGTACTTCCCATCCAATTGGGATATTTGTCACATGGTGCCTCCCAACTAATGACCTAATCCTGGTGGCCAGCACCAGCTGCATTGTGTTTTGTTGCATTTAGGAAAAAGGCTCCTTTTGGGAAGAGGAATTAAGCTCACACTTCAGACTCCTTGAAAGAATGTTTTGTTTCAAGAGCCAGACCTTCAGCATGTGTAGACCATCACAGCTCCATCCATTTCAAGGGAATCCAGCTCCTGACAGTTTGACTCAAACTCCAAAAGCGTTGGCAGCCTTGATCTCTCGGCTCATCAGTATCCTGCTTCCGAGAGATGCCCGTGGTTCACGAGTACATGTATAAATGTGAATTTTGCACATTCCCTAACTGCGCTAAAACCAGAGCATGCCAGTCACAGATTTGCGCTGAGACATTGCGCATCATGTATTCAGCTCCCAGATTCGTGAATCTGTGCGTGCCGCTCTGACTTAGCTGTCTGGCACATGTTGACTTCGGGAGAGACGTGAAATCATTACGTGGAATTGTGCTTCGCTTTTGCACATGAGTGCTTTTGCATCCTGCTTCCCCCCCTGAAGGCACACGCTTATGCATGCTGCCAGGTCAGTCAGGCACCAAGGAGGACTTCATGCCCATGTGTGTGTTTTGAGAGCTTGTGGATACTCAGCTCTGCTGGGCTCAGAAGGAAATTCATTTATCATAAGGAGCGTTAAATCTGCGTAAGATGCTGGCATGGGTTTCCTCAAATAGTGCTGAGCTATATCTACATATCTGTTAACAAAGCAAGGCCAACATACGAATTGGAGCACTGGCGTCTGGTCATCCACGCTGTTTAGTTCTTTCTTAGCAAATTCAGCAAATGTAACCCTTTCTGGTGCTGTACTCTGTACTGTTTTTCTCTCTTCTGTACCTGAAAGTATTTGTGTGCTTGCTAGGAATTAACTACGTGGTTCATTTAGCAATGTTGTCTGCAGCAGCAGCACAGTTTTGCTCTTTACGCTTATCAGCATGAAGGACCATCAACACCATTAGACGCAGAAGGTCTGAACTGCATAGTATTTATACAGAGATTTTAATTTTAAGGCTCTTCTACCCTTCATGTGAACCGATTTTATTTTTTTAATGCTACAGACACATTTTTTTAACAAAGACTGCCCTTTTCTTCTGTGAGGAGGGAATTTTACAGCTGGGGAGCTGCCAGTCTTGAGGATGTCCCTTTGGATAAAATGTTCTTTGATAATAGCTGTGCTATTTCTGAACAGTCTCCGTGGCAGGAAAATCGTCCCATCCATGTCACATGCCTTGGCAAGGCTGAAGCGCCTCAGTGCTGGAGGTGTGACTGCGGAGGGATGCTGTACCTGACATTCCATTTATGGGGCATTCCTAGTTTGTAGGTAACAAAAGGCAGGTGAGGTGAATCCAGGGAGCTGTTTCCGAAGAACCAGCATCCTTGTTTGCACAGCATTTTTTGAATGGATGTAGACCAGAAGACTAGAGACAGGTCTAGCTTAATTCAACAGCAGCCCACGTGACCCGTGCAGCGCTTTAATCTATTCCCTGTGCATACAATCCAAGATCTCTTGAAACAAAGAAAGCTGCTTCTGAAGCAATTGCTTTCAAAAGCCTCCATTAAAAATTCACTGCTAATTGCACATAATTAACAGAGATTGGAGGAACGGGTGCATGATCCACTGGAATCTCTAGCAGTCTCTTGTAGTCCTGAATCGTTCAGTCATTTTAAGATCAAATGTATAACGGCCTTTGATGTGAACTCGTTGAGAGGATACTATAGGTAGACCTATTAGCAAAGGGAGGTTTATTTTTTTGTTTTGAGATTTTTACAGCTCAGCAAATAAACAACTGAAAAGTGCTATTTCTGTTTGATCTACTAATTGCAGTTTTCAACCCCTTGCGGTTACGTAAATGAAAAAGCAGTAAGGCCAGGGCAGATTTCTACATACAACAATTATTAGGAAAGGCAGTGATAGTGTAGAGGTAAATAATTGGTGTGGAAGATAAGGAATACATACTACATACAATAGACAGTATATCCTACATATATTTTGTAAGCATTAGACATCTTCTGCATTTGTAGGGTGGGTATATGTGGTTTCTAGGTAATGGCCTTCCTTAAGGTCACTGATTTATGCACACACAGTCAGATTCACACTCAGAGCATCAGTACCTCAGTACTTTTTACCTTTAAAACTGTTAGGCATGACACAACCTTTAGGATGAAGATTGACAGTAATAATTGTGTGGTTGGCTTGATGGTGCTTGGTAAAATCATAAGAATGGAGGAGACTAAGGTGCTTAGGCAATGCTTAAGTTAATCTCATGCCTTCCCAGCAAGCTGGACAGCACGCTAAGGAGCTATTCCCGAAAGAGGAAGGATAAGATGCGGTTCAAGATGGGAAGCGTCCTGCTGTCTCTTCTTTTCTGGTACAAAGGTATGCATTTTGCCTCCTGAGAGGTGCTTTCAGATGTCCCTGTTTGTATTTCTTTTTTACCCATGCTTCTTGTTTCTGCCAGGGGCTGCGAGGTACAGTGCAAACCCTTCTCTATGTTCTCATGGAAGCATAATAATCTGGGGAAAGGCAAAATGGTGGAGGAGATGTGTGATTTATGTACATGAGTGAGCAGCATTCTTACAGCGCTATGAATATTCAGTAGTAAAACTCTGTTTCACGAAGTAATTGCAGTGCAAAAAAATTGCCATATAATTTGTCAAAATATGAATTTGCAAAGAAAATTGTAGTGCAGCTGAGCTAGTGAATAAATAATAATGCTGATTTGAAAAATGAGATATAGTATAACATGAAAGACATGGTCCTTCATTAATCAAAACTCTTGATTAATCAAAACCTGATCATTTTCTCTAGCAGCAAGACATTGCTTGTGGAGATCTGCTGTTTTTAAAAGGTTCTTTCAGGTATTTTGGCCTGGAAAAACTTTCAAAGGCACTTTAAGAACAAAAAGCAATCGTAAGTCAAGAAAATGGGTAAATTATTTATCAGTTTTGAGGCTTTCTCAATTTTGAGGCTTTCTCAATTTTATGGCTTTCTCAAATTTACTTTTCAGAAAGGTAGCAATGATAACAGATAAACAGGAGGTAGAAGCAGCCAGAAAATTCAGGGTCACTGTCTCCACCCATTTTAACTAACACAGATGTAGAATGAGGAGGTAATTTTCTGGATTGTGTTTGAACTTCTGGCTTCATCAAAGCCAATGCAAAGCTGCTGTTACCTTAAACAAGGCTGGGGTTGCCTTTGCTAAGTGCTGGGCAGTACCTACCAACATTGAGGCGTGACTGGAGTATGGTCTGTCAGAGCAGGGGGCAGATCTATCAGGCAGTCCAGCTTTTCCCCCATGGATGTTGAATTCTCCATGTTTTGCTTTGTCTATTTTGTTCTATCTCTCTCTCTTTCCATTGAATATTTTGGTCTACCAGATTTCATGGATAGGAAAGTGAGCCTCAACTAGCCATGCCTTTATTTCATCCTCTTAGGCTTGGCTGTACCCGTCTCTGTCTAATTAATAGGTCTTCCTTTTAGTCTTCCAGCAAATATTTGTACGTTCTCCTCATATCTTATCTCTTTGCTCTCCTTTCTTGCACGTGGGAAGGTTACTGGTGCCCGAGCTTCTTGGAAGGCTGTTTTTACACAGACTCCAGCATTTTTTTCCCGATGGGTGGCATAACCGCAATTAGTCCTTGGGATGAGTTCATACCTTGCTTTGAATCCCCAACAGAGCTTGCTTTTAATAGACACCCACACGTCAGGATATTTTTGGAAAGCCTGCAGTGAAAAATTACTTGCAGGATCACTTTCCAGGCATCACTCCTCCAGTATTTAATTTTTTTTCTTAATGCACTGGTTTTCTTAATTCACTGGTTTTCTCTGCTTTGTGGGCCAAGTGTCCTCTTCTGGACAAAGAGCGATCAGCAACCCTTTGCCCAGGTCACCCTCAGACTCCTGGCTCTCCCACCATGGAGAAGGTGCTGCTAGGTCAGTCCCTGAGCCACGTGCACGGGTGCTGTGCTAAGCTCCTTAGCTTATTTTCTCCAGCAGAGCAAGTGGCTTAGAGGAGCACCCCCAGACCCCGCGCCTTGGCTGGGCTCGTGTTTGCAGGGGCCACCACCACAGCAGCAGGTGGTGCAGCAGGCAGTCTCCTGCGACACGAGCCACAGCAGCTGCCGGGTCCCCTCCGTATGGTGAGGGGGAGCACCCCCGTGCCCCGGGTTGACATGAATATGCTTTTAGGACATTGAATGTGACATGCCGGCACCGCATTGCTCCACCCATGCTCACTACGTGTCGGGGAATGAGCACTTCTCAGCAGTTTAAGAGAGTGGGTTTCTTTTTCTCCGTTTTTCTTCAGCTTTGGGGGGGAAAAAAAAAATCAAAGGCCCAAACCTGCCTTTGGATCACAGTAAATAACATCTTTAGTGCCACCCCTTGGCATAATCGATACATCTAATGAAATTACTATGCAGGCAATGTTCTGCATAGCTCTAAGCAAGAAGGAACAAGCATGTCAATAAGATCAGAAATTGCCAAAAATTTTCAAAGGAACAGTCTGGGGAAAAAGATAATTACACATCTCTTAAGAAGAAAAGGGGAAAAGGTTGATTTTTTTTCAGATTATTTCCTTTTTTTCCAAATATTTCCACAACATTAAAAAATCTTGTAGAAACACTATGGAGATTGCAGGCATAAAAGAGGAATGGGTATGAATTAAATAGGTATAATCGTAATTATTTAAATAATTTTCATTACTTTCAGATAAATACCAGTAAATATTAAATGAGACACAATACAGATGAATGAAAATGGAAACCAAAGAAAAATCATTCACACAAAGAAAAGGAAATGGAAATGAAAGAATAAACCCACGAATAATCCCCACAAAATGAACAAGGAAAACAGCAGCTGTGTTAAAACATGAGAGAGGAGCTTAACACAAAGTATGGGCCCTTCTCCCCTGAGCAGGCTGGTGCTGGTCCTCTTGCCTTCAGTCTGAGGACTGTGCCTTTCCATGATCAGCAGGGATGAGTCCTGGCAGGCTGATATCTGCCTTGGTGGTGGTGCCCCCCTGGGGGGTGCCAACACCAAAATATCATCTCCAGGGGAAACAGGCTGAGCATTTGGCCCAGTGCGGCTTTGGGAGCCCCTGGATGAACACCCTGCATTCCCTAGGCCAGCCTGGCTCCCAAAATCTTCTGGCAGACAGATATCTGCCTATGCCCTGGGGTCTCTCTGCCTGTCAGCTTAGCTCCCAAGGACCATTTAAAGCCTGCACTTTTTAGAAATGAAGGCACTGTTTGCACCACATGGTCTCCACGTAGCCTGCTGAGCCTGGCCATGGAAAAAGCCCTGGGGGAAAACCAACAAAAAGCAACCAAGAAGCAATTGGGCGAGGGGGCTGTGCCTGCCGAGGGGATCTGGGGACGGGCCACGGCTGCAGCAGGGGTCCCTGCAGTCATCCCAAGTCTATGGGGAAAATGCCATGTGCAACGGTGGCCTGGGACACGGCAGCTTCCCCAAATGCACCTTGCTACCGAGGCTGGTGCAGCCTGATGTGAGTCACCTCGCTTGCCTGGCACGATTTCCAGGGCTGGGATGTAAAAATAGCCTAAGTTAGTAATACAGCAACCCACAGACTAGCACCTGATGGGCACTTTTTCCAGTGTCTCGACCCTCCGTGTTGCTTACCTAACTCTGCTTCCTGACACTCTCTAATGTGATGCTCAAGGAAAACAGGGACTTTCAATGGTGTGCCTTTTAGAGAATGTGATAAAACCAGTGCCATCCATTCCACTCACCTCTTTCATTTCTGTGGCAGCTTTTCTGGGCCTCCAGTCTCATTTTTCTGGGTTTTTTTCAGCTGTTTTCTTCTCCCCTGGCCCATGGCCCACATGTGCAGAAGGGAAGCAGGTGCCCTATGCACCAGTATCCACCACGCTGGGAAATCTCTGCATCACAGAGGGAGTGCTCTCTACTGGGAGAAGTGGGGAGAAAATAATTTTGCTCATCTCTCTGAGCTCTGTTAAGCTGAGATGTTGCTTACAGAGGTGAAAGGCAAAATAAACTGTTTTCCACCTGGAGCTTCTAGGCCACCTATATCATAAAGTCAATAATAAACAAAGTTATTTACATTTTCCACATACTTTGCCTGCAGTGACCAGATTTATGTGAACTTATTCCAGTAAATTGAGTGACTGACATGTCTTCTGTGTCACATTTTATTTCTCAGTTTTATTTTATAATGTGCTTTCTCATGCTTGTACATACGTCATTAATTCTAGCCACTCTAAAAAATGGCTTGTTTTCGTGGCTCTCCAGTCAGGATATTCAATATGATGTGCTCAGCCTTTGGCGGTGGTACCTCTGCCTGCACTTGCCTTCCTCCTTTCTTTCTCTTGTTTAACCACGTTCTTAATGACCACAAACCTCCTGAGACACGCAGTTATCTGTTGCTGTCATTAAAATGCCAGTAGCTGAGCCTCCTTGCTCCTGCTTGCCCCTTCCTTTCCCCAGGTAGCCCATGTTGTGGCAGCTGCTTTATCCCACTTCCACCTCAGGAAGCCCATGTGCTCCCCATCCCGGCATCCCAGGGCTGCCTCTGCCAGCTCTTTTCCTCGTCCCCCAAACCTGGGACAGTCCCTGGGGTTTCCTCTCCCCTTCATCCTGTCCAGCGGCAGGTGCCGAGCGGGGCCAGCCTGGGGTCCGTGCTCCAGCCCAGCCCTACCGGGATGGGTACTCCAGCACAAAATCATCCCCTGGAGCTTGCCCAGAGCCTGGTCCCCACATCCTGTGCTATGGAGTGGCGTTTGTGCACGGCGGCGCTCTGGACGTGCCACGCTGTGGGGCAGGATGGAGGGACGGGAAAGGCACATGCTGTATCTCCCTGCCTGTTGCGGACACACACAGATAACAATTTATTCAACTGAACTGATGGTTTGCTGGATGTCCTGGGGCGCTGTGGGGGCCGTAAATAGGGCTCTTTCCTTTTTAATGTTTTGGGGTTTTTTTCAGTCCTGTACTTTTAAAACAACGGCCCCCGGCGGCAGTGCAGGATTTATGACTCTCCCATGAATTGCAGCAATTCGTTCTGTCTGACCTACAATTACCAATTATCTTTATAACCTTCCTTGAAGGCAAACACGCTCGCTATAAAAGCATGCTGCCCATCACATTTTTAGACTATTGGCAGCCAGCTTTCCTCTTCATTTCCTTTGTAGGACAGCGCCCATCACAGCTGTAAACACACCAATATATCAATTACTGCTTTTTCCGGCCGACTGCAGGCAAGGGCATCTTTTCCTCTCCTTTCCTCTCCTGACGCCAGGGGTTATCAGGCCACGCTGCCCGGACAGAACATTTGGCCCATCGCTGCCCTGCGTACCTCCAGCCAGGCCAGACGCATTCCCTGTGCCGCAGGCTGCGGGTGCTGGTGGTAGGGTGGCTGAGCTGCTCACAGGAGCGCGCCTTTAGCGCCTTTAAACTGCCTTTAGCAGTTACCCTCTTTTGGCTCAAAAGGACACAGTTGACCACCTGTTTGAGATGTTTAAACCAACACGGAGGCATGCGGCGAGGGGTGGAGGTCCCCAGCTCACCAGGGACAGCCAGAGGGGCGTCATGCCGGTGGTCCTGCCCTGGCACTGCCTTTTCACCACTGTGTGTTGCAGGGCTCACCCAGTAACAACTGCACTGAAGAAAGGTCTTTTTTGCTTGAAATTCACCCCTTTGTTTGATGTGCAGTAGTGTGCCCTGGCTGACAAGCCTCCAAACCCTGAGAGCTGCTCTTGTAGCTGAGGAGCAGGCATCACTGGCCAGGTGCATCCACTCAAGCAAAGCTGGGGTGGCCAGGGCAGGAGGGTTTATTCCTGTGTCTGCTGCCATACACCCACCCACCAGAAGGGTATTCCTTTTTTCCCCTGTTGTTTCACTCGCAGCCATTGGGTTTCCAGCTGCATCTGTCAATGAAGTGCCAATTTTTGGTCTTGTCCAGAGCAGGGCTCCCATCCTGCCAGGAAACGCCACCGTGGCATGGGCTGGAGAGTCAGGAGAGGCTCCCACCAGCCTGGCTCCCATGCCACTAGTGCCAGTGCCACTCCAGTATTGGCATCAAACAGAGAATTGAGCAGGAGACGTGCTGCACTGCTTTTATTGGCAAAGGCAGTACAGTTTTGAAAATTGATCCTGTCTTGGTTCGTATCCTATTGATGTGAGGACAGGCAGCATTCCCTCAAACCACCATCACGCTGTGTGGCACATCACTGGGGCGGCAGTGCGCTGCGTGGCCTTGGGCTTGCCCCTCTGCCTCGGTGCTCCGGTTGCACAATGGAGTCATGGGGCTTGTCTGGGTGACATCTGTGCTGGGACACGGGGAGGAGGTGTTGCACCTGGTCCCCAGCCCACACTTCCTACAAGGCCAGGTCTGGAGACATGTACCCACGTTCTCTTGCTGATCTTGATGGGGTCTGGGTGGCCCCTGCCTCCCTCTGGGGCCTAAAAGCCACATCTTTTTATTGTAGACCCACGTTTACTTCTTCTGCAAGGGCTGATGTCTTGGGTTAATGCATTAAGTTCCCAGTGCCAGAAATGCTGCCCTCGGACACGGAAGCAAAGGAGACCATGTGTTAAAAAGAAAGTATTTTTTAAAATTTCTTTATCATTTTGGTCCACCTTTCAGACTCTTGGTACATTCAGGCTAGGTGTCACCCCCAAGGAGCAGTTGCATTTCAGTAATAAACAGAGCTTTGTGTAGAGTTTACATTTCAGCTGTTTATAATTGCACAGTGTTTGTGAGTCTTTTGAGATGAAACTTGCTATAGAAAAGGGAGACATAAATTGCCGGCATTAGTTGGAGCTTCCTAGGCTCAGCAAAGTGACAGTGTATGAATGAATAAATCATAACGAGATTTCAGTGAATAATTCAGAGTCTTTGGTAAATAGATCCTCTATTCCTATTCACAAAACTTCATTTTGGAGATGGTGGGTTTCTCATGGCTCCTCGATGCAAGTTCTTACCTGCTCAATAGCTTGGTCCTCAGTGGCTTGTGCATTCCCTGCTGGTGTTGAAAACATGCTGTTTGACGTTTGACTTGTGTTGGTGAGTTAGCAGCGGTCATGGGAGTATTTATTCTAAAATTATTTTATTTTCAGAACTGTCTGGGCACTTTTCTGCCAGTCTAAATGCTATTATAGTAGCGTGCTTTGGACTTCACTGGGGAGCAGGAGAGTCCTTTCAGCAGGGAAAGGGCTTATAAAAAAGCCATTGTTCAGTGTCAGGCAGGAGATAAAACAGGGCAGATGTTACAAAAATAACGGCTCTTTCTTAACAGCCATAGCAACAGGTTTTTGCTAAGAAATTAAAAGAAACAGGGAGTCTTGTAGGTGAGAGGGATTGGGAAGACCTGTTTACATTTTGTTTTCCTCCATCCTGTCCAGAGGGACTGATCTCAGGGCAGGCACCTCGTGGGGTGTCCCATCTCCTCTGAAGGCACCGGGGATTTGCAGTGGTGCCAGGCTGGGATTTCACCCTTGGCGTTCATTGGCTCACAAGTTTTAAGGGCAAAACGGGAAAGGGAAACTGTGGGGCAGGAAGACGCTAAAAGGGACAGGGGTGAAATCAGCTGTGAAGCAGAGGCTGAGAGCTGGCATGGGTTTCTTCTCAGGATGTTTGAGGAGTATCTGATCAGAAAGAGAAGATGCCAAAGGCATTGAAGAGCAAACACAGTGGAGGAGTAGCACTGACATGGGCACGTGCAGTGCCCTGTGTCTGCCCATGTCTTCTTGGTTTTCTCTGGCAATCAGCTTGGGGAAACGTGTTAGATGTGTCAGTCCTTCCTTGATTTATTTATCCCCAGCTCAGGAATAAATGTTCAATGCATTTCCTGGCATTTGCTTGTAGCATTTTGTTTCTGATCTCTCTCTCTTCTTTCCCCCCATGCCCACTGCTCCAGCTGTGCTGGCCCTCTCCCCAGGAGAGGTAAGTGTCTCACACAGGTTTGGCTGCTGGGTAAATGCCGTGGGCCTGGCACTGCCCGGCTCTGGTGCCTCAGGGCAGAGGGAGGAATGGCACCTGGGCCTCCAAGCTCAGGCATGCGCTTTGACCTCTGAATCCAAGGGGGAGTCATCCCATGTTTTGTGCCAGGCTGGCACAAAGAAAGGGGCAGAGAGAAGGTGCAGAAGCCTGGATGGGTGCGAGTGTCTGTCTGAGCTTCAGGACTCAGCCTCATGTCATGGTTGTCAATGACTATGTTGATTTATTATTGGTTTTTCATCTTTCCTTTAGGATGAGAGGCTGGAGCTGTGGCACAGCAAGGCTTGCAAATGCAATTGCCAAGGAGGTCCTAACTCGGTGTGGTCCAGCGGGACTAACACCTTAGAGTGCATGCCAGGTAAGGGGCCGGTGTGCGTCAGCCATGTTTGTCTGGTGATCTTCAGCAGCCTCCCCCATCGCACCCTGCATCGCAGAGGTGGCACGTTACAGCCCTACTTGTTCCAACCCAGCTACTGCTGGGGCTGGGGCAGCTGTGCCGGTGGGAGGTGCAGGGTGACCCTGTGCTGTGGGGCAGAGGGGTAGCAGCAGTGTGCACCATGCCTGGGCCTTGGCTGGTCACCCAGGGTGGCCCAGGCTGGCCGGTGCCAGTAAGCACTTCCTCCCTGCCCTGTCCGTTCAGCCCCTGGCACTGGTACTCCTAGAAATTGCCTGGGGAAGCTACTGCCATGTGTAGGATTTGATGCAGTTTAGCCTGTGACATCTCCTCTCCCAGGGGTCAATGAAAACCTTTCACCAGCTCCGTTGCCCTTCTCTGGACAGGCTCCAGCACCTCCGTGTCTTTCTTGCAGTGAGGGGCCCAAAACTGAACACAGGATTCAAGGTGCAGCTTCACCAGTGCCCAGTACAGAGAGACAATCCCCTCCTCAGTCCTGCTGGCCACACTGTTCCTGATGCAGGCCAGGATGCCATTGGCCTTCTTGGCCACCTGGGCACATTGCTGGCCCATATTCCTCCAGCTGTCGACAAATACCCCCAGGTCCTTTCCCAATGGGCAGCTTTCCAGCCACTTGTCCTCAAGCCTGTAGCACTGCAAGGGGTTGTTGTGTCCCAAGTGTAGGACCTGGTACTTCGCCTCGTTGAACCTCATACAGTTGGCCTCGGCCCATCGATCCAGACTGTCCAGATCCCTCTGCAGAGCCTTCCTGTCCTCAGGCATATCAACACTACCACCCAACTAGGTGTCCTCTGCAAACTTACTGGGGGTGCACTCGATCCCCTCATCCAGGTCATTGATAAAGATGTTAAACAGAACTGGCCCCATTACTGAGCTCTGGGGAACATCCTTTGTGACTGGCTTCCAACTGGATGTAATTCCATTCACCAGAACTAGATCATCTAGTTTCAACTCCCCTGCCATGGGCAGGCACATCTTTCATTAGACCAGGTTGCTCAAAGCCCCATCTAGCCTGGCCTTAAACACTTCCATTGATGCATCATCCACAAATTCTCTGAGAAACTTGCTTCAGTGGCTCACCATCCTCATCATAAAAAACCTCTTTCTTATGTCCAATCTCAATCTACTCTCTTTCCGTTTAAAACCGTTGCCCCTTGAAAGAGAAGGGAAGGAAAGGAGACAGGGCAGGTTTGGTTGATCCGTCCATGGCTGAGGGACATGTGTGTGAGAGGAGCAGCTCTAGGTTTCCTGACCAGGCGAGGTGTGAAGGGTGCTCTCATCCTAGCTGTGTAATGAAGGCAACTTCCTTGACTAAGGAAGGCCATACTCCTGAATAACGAATGCTGTCACCATATCTCCCAGCTGTCTCTCTCCCCAGGCAGGGAATCTTTGTATTCTCCTTGCCCAGCCCAGCTCAGCCATGGCAGTGTGGCCTGGTGTCCCCTCTGCTGGGGTACGGTTTGCCGAGCAGCCGTGCTGAGGTGTGGCAGAACTGTCTCTGGCATGGCCAGAGGGGAGCAGCCGGCCTCAGAACCACTGCTCGTGTTTTCTCCAGGTTGGCGGTAGCGACTTAGCCGGTTTGTCCGGGCGGGCAGCAGGCACCTGTTTCGTGGGTCCCTGTGCTTGGCTCAGCCAGACGTGCCAGAAGGTGACCTGCTAATTGCATTACGGTTGTGTGGTCTGCGGATTAGTGTTGCTAAAAGTAAAGTTACGTGGTGTAAGCCTGCCAAGCAGTAAACATGCAGGGCCACCCCAGCGTGGCCGCCCTCCTGCACAGGGTGAGCAGGGGCTTTTAGTGGGGTGGAAAAGCGTGATGTTTCCGTGCCTGGAGGAAGGTGGGACAGTGGCGATGTGTTTTCATGGGGAAAAACTTGTTAATGAGGTACCAACCGAGCAAGATATGTTAATGAGATATTGATGCATACAATATCGATCTCGTGGAGCTTGCTAATGAGACATTGACTGCGCTGCCACAGTGCTGGGACATTGCACCAGGGAGGCCATGGTCACTCCAGGCCCTGGGCACCTGCTGATGCTCCCCATGTTGGTCATTTTTAATGTGAGGCCTCACGCTGGTTGGTCAAGGATGGCTGAGGAGAGGAACTGTCCTACCCATGCGTGAAGCTGTGCAGAGCTTTGCTTGCTCCTTCATTGCTGAAACCCATGAAATGAACCACACTGAACTGGAAAATGTGACAGTCCCCCTTCGAGGATGACACATGCTCCACGGGCTGCAAAATGAGATAAATGCTGCCCGTGACAGAGATATTTGCCCAGGCAATTCCCAGCTGACACTTCTGAGCATCTTCTTTATGTGTACCTACATCCGTAGTGATAGCCTGCTCCCATAAAAAATTATCATAACAAAATAAAAAAACCCAAACAACTAGGTCAGGCTTGCGGGTGCTCTGCATGGCAGCATCGCCAAAAGCTTGCCTTCCAGAGCACTCACCACAGAAAGTTCTAGTGATGGTTTTGCAGCCAGCAGGAGCCTTGCTGAACCTCACGCTATGGCAGAAGACATCTGTGGGGTCAGGTTGGGTAGCCTGAAGACCTGAAGGCAAAAACTCAGATGGAGATCCCTGAGCCTTCAGCAGGGCTGGGCGTTACACCTCACTAGCACCAGCGTACCCGTAGGTTCTCCAACAGACAAGACCCTCTCCAGGTACAAATGTAGACCCCTTAGCAGCAAATGCAGAAGATCTGAGGGTGCCTGTGGAGGGATGATCAGAGCAGGGTCAGCAATTAGGGTGTGCAGACTTAGCCATAAATCAAGAGAGTGAACGGAGGAGCAGAGGGAGATGAAGCCCGGCAAGAAAAGCTGTTCCAGACATTTCTCAAGGACCAGGCAGAGGCTGCCAGCCTGGTGGCTCAATCCAGGTTGATGGATCCAGTCTGGATCTGCTTCCATGTGCTTGCAAGAAGAAGATTCGGACCGCAACATCCGAATAAAACCTTCCCCCCAAAATGCGGCAGGCAGCACAGGTTTAGGAAGTTTGAGAGAGAGGAGTGAGAAATTCATACAAGAGAAGAGTTAGAAATGAAGACCCCATGGTCCCTGGGCAGAACATATTGCAGGGGCTGTGGTCCGGGTTTAGGAGTATCCCCAGCTTCCTGGTCAGGAAGCAGCAAAACCACAGAGGGTGTTGACAACAGGCGTGCAAATGCCAACCGGGATACAAAGCCTTACGGTGTCATGTCTTTTCCCTGGTTCTGCAGAGTGCCCCTACCACAAGCCCCTGGGCTTCGAGTCCGGCGCTGTCACCCCCGACCAGATAAGCTGCTCCAACTCTGAGCAGTACACGGGCTGGTACTCCTCCTGGACAGCCAACAAGGCTCGCCTCAACGGCCAAGGATTCGGGTGAGTCTGAAAATGCCCCCCCCGACGGGTCCCGTGTGTGTGGGGGGCCAGAACTTCCCTGGCAGCATGCAGGCAGGAGGGGCTGCCCGGGAAGGCAGAGGTGGAGGACGCAGCGGTGCCAGCGGTGTCCCCTCAGGTGCGCCTGGCTCTCCAAGTACCAGGACAACGGGCAGTGGCTGCAGATCGACCTGAAGGAGGTGAAGGTGATCTCAGGGGTCCTCACGCAAGGGCGCTGCGATGCCGACGAGTGGATGACCAAGTACAGCGTGCAGTACCGCACCGACGAAAACCTCAACTGGGTGTACTACAAGGATCAGACTGGGAACAACCGGGTTGGTGGACTTTGCACTTTGGCCACTGGTCGGGGACGAATGTTTGGTGATATGAAAGCATTTGGTGTCAGCAGGGAGGTGCCCCAAGAGGGGTTCCTGTGGGAACAGCAGGGTGGATGGGACCCAGAGCTCAACCCCCATCCAGGGGCAGCATGAAGGGGGTGTCCCCACCCCAAGGTATGAGCAAGTGCCACAGTGACCAGCCACAGAAGGACAAAATGCATTTATTTGCTAATGATGACTGTGGAGTCTAGAATAAACTCAGCAGGATGGAGGCATTGGCTGGCACCACAGGGGAAGCGGCACCCCCATAACAAAACCCCTTTCTTGGCTGGGGCTGCACATCCCCAGCTGTGCCTGGGCACTGCAAAATGGGGGCTCCTGCTTTTCCCTGAAGTGCATTTCAGGCACAGAAAAACCCCTGAGACAAAATTTGCGACTTGTTGAGTCACAACCCACCCAGCTGTTTTCACGCTGCACTTCTTAGTGATCGGTTTGAAGTGAAAAATTGCACTGGGGGGACCCTACAGTGGTGCCCGTGGCCCCTGGTGCAGCCCAGCTGGGCTGGGGGATGCCACAGCTGCTGCATCCCAGGCATCCCTGTGTCCGTCCACTGGGATGGGCACTTTCCAGCATGGGAGGCTCTGGTGCCTTTGCGCATCTCCCCGCAGCCCTGGAGAGAGAGCTGTTTTTTTGAACCCCAAAACAGCTCAGTGAGACATGGCAGTGTGGCCAAGCTGTGGGGAAGGGCCCCCACAGATATTTTTCTGTCTGTATCGACGTGTCTGGGCGCCTGGCTCGTGAACGCATGGTGCCTTGCTGGCAGAAGGCGAGTGAGGGAGAATGGGGCGAGATTAAGTCTAGCCTAACCACAAAACGTGGAGGAACAATGGGGGGAAAGCGACTTACTCAGAAAACCCAGTCAGCGTCCTGATATTTTCGAGTCTTTTCTTTTGGGTGTGAAGGAGAGGGACTCCTCGACTTTGCACAAGCACCCCAGACTCATCAGGCAAGATTTCCATCCCCCTAACCGCCCGCCCACTCCTCTCCCACCAGGTTTTCTACGGCAACTCGGACCGCTCA